AATCAAATTCTGATAATTGCTAAACAGTTTTTATTGTTTTTACGTAAAAAACCGCACGATTTTCTATTACACATACAAAAATGAACATTTTTGCGGGCAAAAATTAAAAACGTTTCCGTTTTTAGATTGTTTTGCCGCTTGAAAAATGCCGACATTTTACTAAAAAACTCTATTAAAACAATTGTTATCATTAGTACACATTTGTCGATTTTTAGAAAAAATTAGCCCCCCCCCCCCCGATAATGCGAAAGATCCACTGGCGAGGATTTGGGATTATTCGTTTCCCCTAGCGTTTGTTCACGAACGGAAATTTCAAAAATTACCGTCAAAATTTTTCGGGGCCTTAATCATTTCATGAAACACGTTTTCGCACAAAAATTTTTGTACGAATTTCGGGGAAGTGTCAAGTGTATATTGTTAGATTCTCTCTCTTTTTTCGTCTTTAAATAACGGATGCAAAGTGCTGTCGATTTGTGTGCTCGGGGGCAGCACAATGGACCCCCTCGAACGAATGCCCCTCCAGCCTGCCCTCAACCCCTCCCGGCTAGATGACCGCCCATGATTAAATTCCGGACATATTTTGGATTTGACTTATCGTTAGCTTTTTCAATTTTATTTTCCGTTCAGTTTTTTTAGCTTTCTTTGGTCGTAACACTAGATTTTTCGTAATTAATTGTTTCGATTTTTCGTGAAAAACTTCAATTAAAGTCTGTGTGAAAAATCTGTTTCAGCTGAAAAAATTCTCCAAAAATGGTACGCTGTAAATGTCAAGGGAATTTTTATTCACCAATTAATCAAATTCCGGCGCTGGCCAAACGTTAAAAGCGAAGCCGGCAGCGTTTACATTAAAAATTTTTATTGTAGAATATTCCTTGCCAATTTGCAGCTATTTCGATTGCAAGGCTATTTTTTGGTGCCGGTTTTTATTTGTCGTTGTCAGCTCCACGTCGACCTTTTTAACAGAAAAAATTTGCAAAAGCAAAAATTAAAGTTTCATCAATTTTAAATAGCTGGCCCGCAAAGACCACGTTAATCCTGTCAGTTCTTGCACGTTATGCTATTATTGGGAAAGAAAACGGGAGCTCATTAAATTTCGCGCATTTACATTCGGGCTTTCTTGCTGGGGTGATATATTTTTTTATTCTTTGCTTAGTGTATCGAAACATTCAAAAATATCGAAATTGGCTAACCGATTTTAGCGCGGCTAGTTAGCCTGCCTTTCGGACAAAAAATGTTTCATCAATAAGCAAATCTAGCAAAAGCGGCGGGTGGCTAATAGACTGTCATTGGGCTGATTTTCATGCTCAAGATAATTTAAAGTTAATTTTTTGGCGTCTTTTACGCGTTACGATCCAAACATTTACTACGTGCTAGGATGTAGTATTTTCACGGTTTTAAAAAGTTTTTGTGCTTCGACGAAAGTCCATTTACGTGCAAAATGTTTTGTAACCTGATTTCCCGTTAAAATAAACAAGGGGAAATCGCTAATTTCCAAAACTTCAAGATAATGGGCTTTCAAGCATAAATTAAATAATAGTGGTAACTAAAACAACCAATTTTAAAGCGGAAAATCCGGTTTTTAAACGCCTGGGCAGGGTCTTCGAAATTGTCTAAAATTTCTTGCTAACCAAACGAAAGGGGTGGTCAATCGGCTTTGAAGAGATTTCATCGATTGATAGATTTTTAGGATGATTTGTTAAATTCTAGCATCGGCGATTGAATTTTTTGAATTTCGAGTTTGTACCATTCTTTCTAATTATGCGTTTCGCTGACATTTTTAAGCACGAGCTGCCAGAAAATTATAGTTTTTGATGAAAATTATATGTTTCTCAATGTAGAGGTTTCGCGTCAAATTTATTGTTCTAATTCTTGTGCGGCTTCTATGGTCGAATTGTAATAACCTGATTTAACAACGGACCGTGATCTTAATTTCCTAAAAACAATTTTCAGGTGCTTTCGCGTTATCGGGGGGGGGGGATTTTTCATTAAGCTCCGATTTTTCTAATGCAAATAGAGAAAGTGTTTGCAAACTCTTTTTACTATTCTTAAAAGCAAAACCATCACAAATTTGATCAATACCAAAAAAAAATTGTCGGAAAAATTAGGTTTTTTTTTAAATCTTGTAGATAGTTTTCGACTTGAAATGTTAAATTGCTAAATTCCACTAAAAAAGCTATTGAAATACCTACAATTAAATTACTAGGCATTTTTAGACTACTAACACGAAAAAGTTCGGCCTCCCCCCCGATAATGCCAAAGATCCAATTTCTCTTTCTTTTCTGATCACGGAACCAATTCGCGTCGGTTTTTGGTCCTTTTTCGTTCTTCTAGTCTCAAGAAAAAGCTGGTTTCCGGCATTTCATAGCCGAAACTCGAGCCTCATTTCGATCTTTGGCACCAGCTGCGCGGGCAACATTTCCTGTTTTTTCTCGGTGCGCGCTACCCGATTTTTCTTGTCTTTAGCGCGCCGTCAAGGTCAGTGTTTCGAGAAAAAGGCGTGAGGCTTTAGGAAATTTATGATGCAAATACGATCGTCCCACGCAGTATTATTTTGGTCAATTATTGACCTTCTTTTTGAGATAAAACATACTTTTTCAGAAATTCTCGAGCCTTTTTATGCATTCTTTTAAATTTAAATTTCTTCATCTTCTAAAATTTTAAAGTGATGTTTTTAAAGTTTTTAAAAGAATCCCTAAAATCCAAAATAAGAGTTCCTGGGAGAAAGGGAATTAATAGCACTCAGCGTGGCTACTCATCCCCTATTTAAAGTAAAACATACTTTTCAAAAAATACAGAAAATCTCGACCACTTCTTTATTAAAAAAATATTGAAATTTAGACAGTTGAACCTCGTTTAAAATACTTTCTAAAAGTAGCGAGAATTTTTCTGGTGCTTTTTATATAGATTTATGATAAGTTTAGAGTTTAAATCGAAAAGTGGAACTTGGACTTTATTCTTCATTTTTAAAGCTTTATTACATCCCATCAATACCAGCACAGATTAATAGTACTCACGTGGCTAAGGATCTTCTTTTTCAGATAAAACATGCTTTTTCGCAAAATTCATCTCGACTAGATTTCAAAATTCTTCGAATTCTCCACTAGACTATTTATTAATAACATCGAAACAGTTGAATAAATTTTAGGGTATTCCAGGTTCAAAAAACATGTATTTTCTGAAGGTTTTTGTTTATAAAATGTATTTTATTATTGTTCTCTTTATCATTTTATAGCTTTTAGCTTTGTTATCAATTTAATTCTAATATTTATCAATAATAATTTTTTTCAGGTGTATGCGATTACTGTTCCCCTTTCTGCTCACCGTCACTACCATATTCCTACGGTTATGTGAAAGTCGGCAACTTCAGGTTATTATTCATAATTGAAAACTTAAATTGCATATAAATAAGTTCATAAAATAACATAAAAATAGCATAAAAATTTTAGCGATGTCTGAAAGTCCAAAAAATAAAAAACCGAAATTAAATAATAATTAAATTAAAGTAAACGGCAGTGCAATAAAATAAAATAATAATTATAATAATATTAAGCAATTTCAGGCACGTGTCTGGAAACGCTCGGAGCCGTACTACTTCGAAAATGGTCGGATAAAGAGTTCGAGGTTGGTGAAAAATCATGTGTTTCGGCCCAGGTTGCTAATCCGAAATTTTTCAATTCGGTACTATTTTCACGATTGGTAAAAGCGAGTCAAGCATACCAAAAAATCGAAAATCGGACAGAGTAATTCAAAAACCGCAAAGTTCGAAATAAAAAATGCGTAAGAAATTGCAAGGGTTCTTTTGCATTAACGGGGGGGGTTCTGCATACGGCCAGAGATTTTAATTGATGTATTTTAATGGTTTTTAGTTAAAAATAAATATATTTCAGCAAGGAAAAATATCTAAAAACTTTTAAAAAATTTAAGCCGACATTTTGACCATTTGGAAACACTTCCGCTATTTATCGAAAAATTGGATACTTTGAAAAGCTTCCCCCCCGATAATGCCAAAGATCCAAAAACGCGTGCGTTATTTGCAAGTCACGCATACGAAACAACGCCAAATTTGGTAATTTAATTCAGGCACCCATCCTCTTCGAATTTCTGGCGAAAAAAAATCGAGTTTCAGCTTTTTCCAGTAATCGCCATGAATTTTGACGCCTAATTTTATCTTTTTGCCGCAACAATAATAATTTTGTCTTTTTAACGCGCTGCAGTATCACAGGGAAATTTAGGCCATATAAAAATACACTTTAAATTTAAATCATACACATACCAAATTATGTAAATTTCAACAATTTCAGGCGCCTCTACCGTCTTCACAGCCCGAATAGCGGGCGTGTCCAGGCGGCCCGCACGTTTCACCGTGGCCACCGAAATATACACGCCCCGTTCACGGATGGTAATTGCTTGTGCATTATCGGGGGGGGGACAATTTAACTTTAGTTCTATTTTTAATTAATTTTTGTAAATTTCTGCAATGCCTATTAAAAATATGAAGTATTATAACAGCGTTTATCGTAAGATTTAGCTATACTTCAGGTGGGAAGAAAGATATCTAAAAATCTTAAAAATGGTGAATTTTTGTCGAAAATAGAGCTTATCGAGCCTATTGGTTTTACATTAGAAAAGCTCCGCCCCCCCCGATAATGCAAAAGGATCCGGTAATTAAGAGAAACAGTTATGGAGAATGATTGAACGGGCTTTTTTGCCAAGCATGATTATCGTAATGCCTTATTTAAGTTTTTGAAAATAAAATGAAACATAACATTTTTCATTTCTCGCGCGCTTATCCCGCATTACTCGGCTTGGCCAGATTTCCGACATATTTTTTATTGTAAAAATAAAGCAAATAAAACGAGGCTATTTTGGAAAAATGTTGCATACATCAAAAAGAAACGCAATTATGAATAAGTGTTGCAAACGTTACGACTGTTGTAAGTAGTAACCCGACCGTTACGACTTTAAATCCATAATTTTGCTGATATATTCTTTTTATAAAGATGGCTCTCCGCTATCCCGATCGTCCGGCCGATTCTACCGCAAAATCGCCGCCTCGCCGACGCATCGAATTTCGCCGCAAAACGCGGGGAAAAATGGTAAACCTTGAATTCGCCTGCCGTTCTAAATCTCGAAATTATTCACAAATTTAAATCTTAATAAACAGGATCCGGATTATACCAGATATCGCAGCAAATAAATAAAATAGAAAAATAGAAGAAAATCACTGAAGCACTAAGTAAAAATTGTGAATATACGGAAATGACCCCATAACGAAGAAACCTCTACTTTTAAGAAAGAAGAAATTTGGAGGCATTGTTATTGATCGTTGACGCCGTTGTGCGTGAAAATCCTAAAAACGTACGATACAATTGTTTTATCCAACCTTCTAAAGAAAATTCGGCTGAGAACCGGGATTTCCAGATCTTTCATAAAGTTTCTAGCATAGGAATAAACCTTTTTAAGCATAAAACTAAAAGTTGTTTAGAGTCAACCCTTCTCGGGGCCTCCCCCTATTCCGAGGAACGCCACAATCAGGACAAGCTGCGCGAGAATGAGAAAGGTGTGTTTCGTTAAAAAGGAACATAACACGAAAACGATTCCGCGTATAAAAAAAAGAAATTATGAATTCTAACTTTAGTATAATTAACCATTAACCATTAAATATAATTTTGTCTATAATCAGCCTTAAAGGCGCAAGATTCGCATTTTACTGCACAATTTATCTGCGGAAATTTATGAAACTCATTTAATTAAAACAATTTTTTTTGGAAATAAATAAATACCTTCCTTTTACAGTGATCCGCGACTCACGGGACTACGCGCATACGCTGGGGCGGACGACGATGCGCGTTAAGGTATTTATTATTATTCTTCAGTTTGTAAAACATGATTCACGAAATGTTTAGTTTCTCGGTGAGCTGGTTTTGGTACTTATCGTAGGACACGGGACTCAATAATATTTTAAGAGCACGCATTAAGTGAGATAATTCCTGGCCATAATGCAAAAATCAGGTGCATTAATCGAATTGGAATACCGGAAAAGAAAGTGTTTCGTAAAATGCCCAGGAAAGCGGGTTTTGATCCCCTTTAATGGTTTTGATCCACGCACAGTAAAAAATGAAAAATTAATTTAATGCAGTCTTTAAAATTTCGAATCAACCGAGGTTATCAAATAAAGTAAAAAATTGTTGTTAAATTCAAGATTATCAAAATTCAGTATTTTCGTGAAATGGACCCCACGACGACACCAGTGCCGCCAAAAAGGTCCGAGCGACCGCCACCGCCGAAAACCGGGCAAATTTTGAATCAGACGACTAGTGGCGGTTCACAGGTAAAATAAGGAATATTTGAGGATATAGAACAATTAATAACTTTATACTTATATTCTTTCTATGCTATTTTCAGCCAACTTAAAAAATGTCACCCGTAGCCGAAATACATACCGGTAAAATCATTAAAAGTCCGCAGGGTTAATGGAAAATTTAAACATTTTTTGTCAAAAAATGGCAGTTTTACGTGTTTTTTGGTGATAGTGGAGGCCTTTATCGGCATAAAAATGATAACAGGCAAAAGAAGGGAAGCGGGAATTGCGCCGCTAAGAGACGTTTGGTTTGTCTAAAGCGCTAAACATTTTTTTTGCAAAAACAAATATTTTAAAGCAACTATTTTCAATCATTTAAATTAGCAATTCATTTAAATATTTTGGAACTTACTCTTTTTAATTGATTTTTAGCGTTCCCAGCAGCAGGTCGAGCCCTCTGCGATGCCGGCGGAGAAGCTGAAAACTAAACCGGCCATGTCAACAGCGGATGTGGTTGCGCAGCCGGCTTTTATTCAGCCACCACCATCACAGGTAGAATCAAAAATATGGACCGCACTCGATTTTTGCACCAAAAATCGGCGATTTGCGAGCAAAAATTCACCTAAGAAATCGAATTTTAAAAATATTCTTTAAGCTTTTCGCTTAAAATATAAGTTGAAATTTACTCAGCTTATATAAGTTTTACTAAAAACGCTATTAAAATACCAGCGATGGCCTCCCAGTAATAACCGGATCGAATTTTCCTACTTTGGTTTTATCAAAACACATTTTTTGAAGACGTTCACGATGCCACCTCCGGCCGCTCCTCAATTCGCGCCGCTACCGTATCAGCAACAGGTACATTATTCAGCCCTATTAAATTTCAAACATGGAAAATGTTGTCAAATAGCAAAATTCGATACCTTTTATATCCCTTTTCTAATGGTATAACCATAAAACATCGATTTTAGCAATCCCAAATCTCACCAGCCGCCCCTCCGCCATTCCCCATGTTTGCCCAGGTATATTTTATTAATTTCCGGGACAAAATTTCAATGTTTTAATTTGTTATTAATTACCGTAAATTTGATTAGCAACAACATTTCGGAGCCCCGCCCCCTGGAGCCGGCCCTCAATTCGGTGGTCCGCTCAACGGATTTCAGGTCAGGTTGGGTAGAAAAAATGGTTCTGGGGCTTTAAAAAGTGGGAAAATATGAAATGTATAATTCTTGATTAGTTTCACTACCCTGATAGCCAATCCTTACGTAGTATAATAAGTTACGGGTTGCATAGCACGGCGTGTTTGCCATTATAATTACTACTACCGCAAGAAATCTCGCGATTGCGTTGGTATTTTGCGAGTTCGTTATCTGCGTTCTTGTAACACTGCTTTGTAAAGAATTTTCAAATCATAAAGATAATACAAAAAAAAACACAACTATCCGAATTTAACGCTATTAAAAACATTATAATTACCGAAGGCATTAAAAATTGCCGTAAGCGGACGCAAAGACAAGAATATCGATATATAGTCTTTTCTTTGCTGCGGCATGCGACGCGCGCGCTGATTTACTACCGTAATCGCATACTAATGCATTAGGCAATGGAAAGCTAGAAACGCGTTGCGTGTCGCGGCGTCGCTAAAATTAATCGGGAATCCATCGCCAAAATGAGCAAAAATCTTACCTTGCGTGTTCCTTCAAAAATTGACATTTTAGCGAGTCGGTGATTTTTAATATTACTAGCCATATTCTCCATATTATCATCAGAATTATTATAACATTGTATGTCTATTTTAAAAATATCGGAAATTTTATATTTTTGATTCGCTCAGCGGGAAATGGCTATTATTAGGTTTGAATGGCTACAGATCTCTATATTCTCTTGTGCAACATCATTTTTCAGCAATTCGCCGGCCCGAATCCCGGCGGGCAGCCACCGTTTTTGGCCCCGCAACCCGGGCAGGTAGATTAACGATACAAAAATAATATGTACATTGTAAATTTTAGTTTACGCCCCCGGCAGTGAACCAATTCCCCCCAGCATTCCCTGGCCAACTCTCCCAACAGTCCCAATTTGCGCAGGCCGGTTTTGCAAGAAAATGTTTAGATAAAAAAAGGGTTTCCGGTTTCGTTTTGGTAACAATCCATTCTTAACATTGGCTTCCAACGGAATCGAGAGCTGCTCCTTTCAAAAAAAAAAAACCCTTACAATTAAGGTTCTGAGTATCGAGGCGGAATATCAAACCCAAGCCAAAAAATGGGTAAATCAATAATACAAACTAATTAAAAATATAACAAATAATATAGCTAGATTAAGAATAAAATTAATGATATTAGGAAAAATCAAGAAAAATAAATTTAGGAAATTAGCTGGATTTTAATCTGCACGTTTCTATTATAGAGCTTCTGCATCTTTGTTTTTTAAAGCATTATTGTTAACCAATACTATTGCAAAAAATGTAAAACATGGTAATTCAATGATCTGTAAAAACGTGTCATGCCTAACCTTTTGTATATTGCGCAATTTCGAATTCACAGCAAATGGATTTTCAATGAAACGCATTTTTTCCAGATGCCCACCCCAACCGCGCAGCCGATGCAACCACCTCCTCCCGGCCAATTCGCCCCCAATTTTGCTGCCGCCGGACAGCGTGGGTTATCGATTTTTTATTATTAAATAACATCAGATTTATCAGATTATACAGATTGATTTGTATAGATTTTAGCCAGCTAAAGCATATCACGGGTTCATTAATATGCAAAAGTGCCACGGTCAGCATAGAAAAGCATGAAACATAATATCCAAATTGTTTTTTTGTCGTTGTCAATTCGCTTTATGAAAATATAAAAAGAAGCGATCAAGGTAGTGGAAAACTTTAATTAAACGTTCAAGAATTTTCGAAAATTAATGAATATATTTTCTGCAGAAAAATGTTTCGAAAAATAAACTAGTCGCCGCGAGGTGTGGACTTACTAATAAATACATTCGCTTGACACCAATAAAAATGTCATAAAGTTTGGGGAGCTTCTAAATAAGCTAATTTTTCCTGTTTGTTAGCTCAATGCGCACTTTTAAAAGAGGAGTTGCACTAAAATCTTTCGAAAAATTTACCTGTTAGTCGCAGTGTTGTCTTGTTAACGAGCATGACTGCGCTGCGCCAACGAAAACTAAATAAATTTTATGTTTCAAATTCATAATTTGAAATTTTTTAAATCAATAAATTTTTTTGCGCAATTCAACAATCCCTCAACAAATTTGAATTATTTAGCTCAATTCTCCTCCCCTCAACCTCCGCTGCCGGGGCAGCCGAGCCTGGCGGCAAACCCGTTTTTGCCGCAGCAGCCGCAGCAGCCAGCCCAACTACCAAGTCAGCAGTCACAGCTGCAGCAAAGTACGGTGTTAAAAACAGTTAAAGCTGATTTTAAAATTCCCACAACTCAAATTGTTTAAAAGTCTAAAATACCAAAAAATTTTTACAGAGCTAATTTTAACATGCTTTTTAAAATTGAAATTCCCAGTTATTTCTAATTACGATAATCTAACTAATAACGATACAATCTAAAACGATTACGATATGATAACATTAAGCGCTAATTATTCATTAATGAAAAATACCTAAAATCATACTTTTTAAAATATTTTTAGTATGGTCAACGCGCACAGCGTGCTTTTAATAATCTGAAGATTTTTCTAGGCACTTCACTTTTGTTTGAAACATCATTTTAAATTTTTCCAGAAATTTAATTTCGTATATGTGAATTTTTCAACCGGTTCTTACAAAAACACATCTTAAAGAAATCACGCTTTTCAGTAGAGAATGTAATGGCAACCGTCAAAAAACTTAAGTATCTAGAATCTATGAAACACACAGTTTCCTGAGAGCGGTTTCTTAAATAAACTGTATTTCAGTGATGGCCACCGCTCAACCGTCTGCACCCTCCTCGGGGAATACGGTATCAATTTTTGAACTTCTCCATACTAAAAACTGCCTTACATCGAACCGTATTTGAAAGTAACCCAACATTACGGAAAACGTATTTTCATTAACTTCAAGTCAATTCAAGGAAAAAAGATGTTTCTGATTACCGACCTTTTCGCGCTCCAGCTTTAGCCTTAATATGCTTTTTCTTCGGGGGGAATAATCGTTCCGTATTTGTCTTTAGAATTCGGTATTTTCGGCGCTAATCCTCGACTATCCTCTACTTTCTATTTAATTTTTAATATTTTATTATATCAGGTTGGAAAGAAAGTAATGGCAAAAAATCTTTAAACCGCTGTAAAAACCCGCAGGAACGTCCGATTTGAAAGTCTGATATATGGTTTCGTAGATCTTCGGATGCTCTAGCATGAGACGACCCTAAAAACACCCAAAATCTGACATACGCAAAGATACAACCCTCAGAAGTTTCGCCGAAAATCAAGTGAGAGCTTCTAAGCGAGATATCTCTGCATACAGGCATTTGCATACGATACCTTTAACACCAATAGATAGCCCTCGAGGAGTAGATATCGATAGATGTTGAGATCATCAAAATCGGACACTGGATGGCCGAGATATGGGCCCTAAAATTTTGGTGCACCAGATAGAACTTTTCTGGAAATCCCATACATTTTGGCCTGCGCGAGCCAAAAACGCTGCGTTTGCTTCAGCTCCCAAACCAAAATCCAGAAAATGCATTGATTTTTGAAGGCCCAAATGTCGGCCATCCAGTGTCCGATTTTGATGATCTCAACATCTATCGATATCTACTCCTCGAGGGCTATCGATTGGTGTTAAAAGTATCGTATGCAAACGCCTGTATGCAGAGATATCTCGCGTAGAAGCTTTCACCTAATTTTCCGTGAAACTTCTGAGGCCTGTATTTTCGCGTATATTAGTTTTTGGGTGTTTTGAGGATCGTCTCGTGATAGAGCATCCCAAGATCTACCAAACCATATATCAAACGTTCAAATCGGACGTTCCTGCGGGTTTTTACAGCGATTTAAAGAGTTTGTGCCATTACTTTCTTTCCAACCTGATATAAACGTGCTGAACAAAACAAGACATTATTTAATTAATTCCGACAATAACGATATGCTGCAATAAGTATAGGCCTTGCTTAACAAAATAATCAATTCCGATTGGGCTAAAATGATAATGTTCTCGTTTTGATATGAAAATTTCAGCCGGGCAACTCGACCCTGGAGGCGTTTGGCTGTGCTTTTGATTTTGTGACGAACACTTGCAAGGATTTGTTCGCATTAAAGTGAGTTTCATCTGCTAACCAAGGCCAATTGTCTTTAGAAATAGTAAACATTTAAAATTATTTGAAAGCTACCTTATATAATTTGGTCGCGTATCTTTGTCTGTGTGTGTGTGTGCGGAGGTCAGTTTCGAGGCCCGATTTGAGGGCCTTCCCGTGCATAAAGCGCTCTGATTCTTCGTCACTCGGGGGAATCAACCCTTCTGTTTCCGATGGCGTTTTCATAATTTGATAAAATACAAGTTTACAAAGTTAAAGCCGGTTTTATTCATTTTTGGGGGTCTGGGAGGACTAATTTGCATAATGTGAAAAAATACAAATTTCCTCATTCTTGCCACTTGCACTCGCGCCTGTGGTCGGGGCGGGGCGCAGGGGGGGGGTCCGCAGGACCCGAGCTATCAGAAAGTCAAACTTTTCATGAAAAGGCCGCATTCCAGCGCCCAAGGCCCGCGAAGCGGGTTTTGGGCGCTGGTTTATTTATAAAAAAATTTTCGGTATTTCTGGCTTTGATTTTTGAAAGTATTGTAGGAAGGGTAGGAAAGGAAGAAGACATAAGAAAGCAGGTATTAATGGAAGCCAGGTCTCAAGGATGTCGAACCTTTTTAAAACATTTTTCTGCAACACCAGCCTCGTTATTGCATTATTTTATTACCATTTATACGTTAGAAATCAGCTACAGTTAAGGGCACTCGAAAATAGCAATTATATTTATTATAAAACTTCATATCTACTTAACAATTTTATAAAGGAAGTTTAAAAAATTTTTGAACCAGCAAAAAGATGTTGCATTTTAGATCGTCTCAAATTTGGGAAAATTTGGTGGATTGGGCGGTGTTCGAAGTCTTTCTATGCTATTTTAATCATTCTTAAGCGCAACAAGCGCAAATTTTTTTGTTAAAACTGTTTGAATCAAACAAAATCCCCCTTCGATAACGCAAAAGTACCATTTAAAATCCGGTAAGTAAAATATATAAATTTCCCCCGTTTTTCAGCTGGTGCGGGCAGTGCCACGATTTCGGGAACCTGTTTGTGCACGACTGCAAATGTGTGCGACCACTGTATGAGAATATCCCCCGGCAGCAGCAGCAACAAGTTCAACAAGTACAGCAGCAACAACAGCAAGCTCAACAAGTCCAACAACAACAGCAGCAGCAAGTTCAGCAAGTTCAGCTGCAACAGCTCCCACCCCAACAGCCCCAAAGGGCCGTAACTTTCCAAAGACAATTGCAGCGGGGCAGGGCCTAGAAAATCTATTAAAACACTTTTAAAATACTAAATTAATTAAAAAACCAGGGTTGAAAAGCCGCTTCGCGACTTTTCAACCCTGGCCCTGTTTTGGACCAATGAAAGTTTACACTTTGCATAATTCGGTCCGACCCATGCTAAAAAATGAAAAAGGCGTTCTCTGCTCCTTTATATAGGCTACCCCCACTTCCGGTGTATGCTAATTGATTCTTAACAAAGAGGGTCTCGGATTTTTCAACAAAAACTAAAATTTAATGTCGAAAATAAGGGACTTTGATAAATTTGATATGCGTGCAGTCATCTCCAGCCCATTACGCATCTAATGACGTATCAAAAATGCCCCTAACTACTCTCCTTCTTGAGATACTACTGGAACACGCTGACGGAAGTTGCATGCAAAGTGGCACACACACACACACAAACACTATTTTTTTATATATAGTAGGAATAGCTTAAAAGTGATTTTAAAGGCACCAGCAAGGCAAATCTATAAAAGAGAAATATGCCATTTAATAGAGCCGATAAATTCTGAATATGCCTGGGCCTTAAGATTTTTTTGAAAGTTACAATATTGAAGAAAATTAAGAACATCTTATTTTTTTCGGGGAGGGGTTTTCTTTGGATCTAATTTTTCTAATATAAACAGAAAAATTTAAACTGTTTTTTTTTCTATTCTTAAACGCTAAACTCGTAGAAAAAAATGCAAAAATATCGAATTTCGACAGAACTTTCTACAAAGTCTATTTTACTAAAACACTATTAAAATATTTCCATTAAATTCTTAATAATGATCCCCTACGATGATGCAAAAGAACCGCAAAATTTAATTTCTGAAGATGGCCGAATGCATCTGTGGGCACTAGCTAATTCGATATTGTAAATTTCGTGAATCATCATTTTGAAAATTCCGAAAATTCCTTTTGAAACTGCCTTTAAAATAAATTACCTAATAATGTACGAATTTAATGCCCTTTCTCAATCGTTTAAAACTTTAACTAAGCTATATTGGCTATCAATTATTTTACTCTTTTTAACGAATCGCCCAGCCATTGCTCAACTTTTGACTCGTCTTTATAGTTTCTTTATGTATTTCGAAAGCTCTTTCAATTCGTCACTTCCTATCTTCTTTCCCACCATTGCTGATCTCATTTTCTGTATGTATTTCTTGATAGTGTTAGCGAATAAAATATTTCTATTATCGACGGGAGGAACGAGCAAGAATTGGTCAAGATAATATGCTGATTTCCTCATAAATTCTTGAAACATTTTTTCAGGAATCACTCGCTACTACTCGTAACCAAGGTTATCGAGTCAAAGGAAAAGGGTACTTTCGCATTATCGGGGGGGATGTTTTCTTAGGATCCAGTTTTACAAATCTAAATAGCGAAAATATGGCTAAACTGTTTTTACTATTCCTAAATGTAAACCGAACAACGTTCTATTCAAGAAAAACAAAAATTATCGATTTCTGCGACCAGAATCGGCCGTTTTTGAACAATATTGATCTTTTGCATTTTCTTGAACCTTTGTAAGTTTTTCTAGCTGAAATATAGTTACAGTTTCCTAAAAAGGCTGTTAAACGGCTTCCTATTACGTTACTAGGCATTTCAAGGCTTATACAAAAAAATTAGCTCCCTCCGATAATTCCAAGGAACCAGCAAAGTGGTTTTTGGCTTCGAGATTCGATATTACTACCGGATATCAAATTGATGTTCCTCGATTTTAACAATGTTTTGATCAGAAATAAATGTTGCAAAGATTGGTTAATGCATCAATTAGATGCTCGATTCAATGCAAAAAAGGTACGGGCTGTGCCACGAATCGATATTTTGATCGAAATTTTCATGGGTTTTAATGGTAATAACAGCTACTATGTTTCGTCTAAAAACCAAAAGCGAGACGTTTTTTGCCAGTTTCCATCTCCCGAGGTCACATTATGATCAAGGCACGCACAAATATGGGTGCGTGCATTACGGTATTACAGCACTTTTTAATGTGTTTGTTTATTTCTCGCGCTTTCCATGGCTATTCCTGGCCGGAAAGAACCGAATTTTTGCCGGCGGAACAAAGTTTATAAAATGCATCCGAGTCGACCGGGTGGCTGGTCAGCCCAATAAATCATGTCGGTGATTATTGCTCTCCTTTTGATGGTATTTCTCCACCTGGAGATGGTAATGATAGAAGGACAGTAAGTTTTTGTGCTTAAAAGATAAAAAATACATGACTATATTCAAATTCTAAAAAATTTGTGAATTTCCAAAAAAATTATGTTTCAAATAAGTTAAAAAAACCCACAATTAGTCTCGTTGTTATTTTGCTGCCTTTGTATAGCCAAATGTCCCATTTTTAAACCTATTCCAGCATTAATTAATATCGTCATTAATTATCATGACATTTGCACATAATAGACGTAAATAGATTTTTAAACCGTATTTTAAATTTTCTTTTTATTCATTAAAAATTTGCTACGTGATTTTAATAAAACAATTTAGCAACTCAAAGATCATTCTGGCACTATGCAAAATACTTCCAGTTCGATTCCGATGTACGCGCCGTTCTTCTCGCAGTCCGCCTCAAAACCGATGATGCCAATGATGCAGTTTTGGAAATGAGAATGATATGTTTCATATAAATTCATAGAAATTTACAAAAAACTTTTCGTAATAAAGACAAACAGACCAAAACCCCATAAATCTCCACTGTGCAAGGCAACTCTTTAAAAAGGTTAAAAAAAATTAAATATCTCACTCTCCCTCGATCGCTCTCTCTCTCTCTCTCTCTCGCTCGCTCTCTGTCTCTGTCTCTGTCTCTGTCTCTCTCCCTCACGCACTCTCTCGCATTCTCTCTCGCTCGCTGGGTTCCTTTTCCAAAACGTTCTCTGCTAGCGATCCATTTCTTGCATTCCCGAATAATTTCTGATTATTATCTTTTCCTAAACAATCTCTGCTAGTTACCGTCTTCCTAAAAAACGTCTGCTAGTTATCCTATCCCACTCCAAGTTGATCATTTTTTAATTTTCGGGAAGTGTGGAACGGGGGCTAAAGGTATGGGAGCTTACACAGTATGGCTGGCGGGTCATAGAGGGGTGTCATTTTACATAGGAATGGGGGGACGAACGGGCGATCTCACCCCGGGCTCTCACTGCCGATACTACATCTACATCCCTATCTTGAAAAGCAGGGCAAAATCTATCCAAATATCCAAATGATTAATTTGCTCGAATTCCTTGTTTATTAAAAAACCGCATTTCATTTTTCGTGAAACACCATATTTAAAAACAGTTCCAATTTTTGTTGCTTGTTAAATGGCTAGGTTTTAATTGCAGAATTTCTATTCTTAATAACTATTTAGATGCCATCCTATTAAATCATACGGAAATTTTTTAGTTTTCGATGATGAAAATACCTAGAAAAAAAAAGCAGATAAAATTGCCCGAACGCCGAAAAGAGCATACTCTAAATTTGGTGAAACCCATCATTTTAACGTAGCCAGTTTGTTGAGAAGACTTATCGATCCTTCAAGAATTTGCCAGAATTTAAAGTACAAGGCCTTTCGAAAAGAATGTTTCGTTTTTGAAGTTAGAGCTAAAGCTAGAGTTCAAACGCTTGTTTTAAGTGTTTCAGAGATTATTATTACGCGGCACTAAAATTCTTGCGTAATGAATTTGATCAGCTTTTCGTGACAGGCCTGCAAAATTTTAAGTATGCATTTTAAATCATTTTAAAACTTTCTGAAATCATAGAAGCATTTTAAATACAGAAATTATATAAAAAATTATGTTTCATCCCTGCAACTGATGCTAGGTGGAATTTTTTATCTACTGTTAAGCTGGATAAGCCATCCTTCGACCTTTCCAGTTTTTGAGTGCCAATCTGTACGCATTGCATGATGAAAAAATTTGCTAAAAAACGAAATATAAATAATATATAACAAAGAATAGATAAATAAAATCTTATAAATTCAATGACCATATTTATTTCAAATAGAATTTATTTAATTAATACGTTTCTACATTTCAGGCATAATTTGAAAATGCAAAAGCCGTTTCGAAATACTACGACTACTTGTCTATTAATGCTTCTATCTATCACCGGTATTCCACGAATACGCGGCCAGCTGCTGAGCGGATGTCTCGATGGCGAGACGCAACACTACGATGGGGAAAGATGGATTCATAGCGGCAATTTTCTTGTGGTTTGCAGCGAGGGCAAAATTAAGGTGGGTGGAGGATAAATTCTTTGAATTAAATTTTCAAACCCCGAATTAATCAATTTCAAACACATTACTTCTGAGGAAGTCCAAAGTAATCTTACTGGCTGACGGATAATTCAGGGCAGAAAAATTTTGTGAAGTACGGGTTTAGATAAAACACATTTTTTTAGAAATTTTTGTAAGTCTAAAATTTTTCATCGAATTGAAAAATCTTTAGCAAATACATAACAACGCGAGAGAGCGAGAGAGAGAGAGAGCGAGAGAGAAAGAGAAAGAAAGAGAGCGAGAGAGAGAGAGAGAGAGACAGCGAGAGCGAATGAGAGAGAAAGAAAGAGAGCGAGAGACAGAGAGAAACAGAGCAACATTTTTCCGTCCGGGCACTAAATCGACATCAATTAAAGTAGAATTCAACCAAATGTCACTTCACCTTTAAAGGTACTAAAATGCATGACGGACGCGGGTACGGTACTTGAAGTTGGGACAGAAGGACTTGTGGAAGATGGGGTCACATATTCATGCGTCGACGAACCGGACGAGCCGATGCACGACGGTACGTTTAGAAATTAACGTAGCTTTTTTTAATAGATCCTAGACTTATTTATAAAATATTATTCTACAGGTTAAATTTAAATGCGTTGCATATTTTCGCCATTTTTGGGAAACAGCTAAAGGAGGGGGACGGCTCACACGGAAAAACCAAACCCGTGGAGGCAGTAGCTTACTGTCTGCTGGTTTCGAGTACGTCATATGAAATTTAAAGGGCCGTAGGAGGTTCAAAATTTTAAGCCAGGTTTAAGCCTCATAATTCCTTCAACAAATGCTGAGCATTCAGCCAAATTTTGGGGTTGCGAACCAAGACATGAACAGACGATTGACCTCCAAATTTCACGCTCACGGGTAATTTTTGGCGAAACATAATTTTGCAAAAAAGCCGAGCGTCAGAATTTTTTAGCACTGGTCAAACGGTATTGTTTTCCTTATAAAAACACTTATTAATTCACCACAAAGCTGAAAGAGGGCTTGTCAAAGAATTAAAATATCCCAGAATTCAAATTATAAATCCGGAATGGATCGGTATAAAAGTTTCACGGGTGCGAAATCATCGACGGATGATTGGAACAATATCGCGACCGGAAATAGTGGATTTTCATGAAACATCGTTTTTCAGAGGGCAGCGGCCTGGATCCGGAGCTTGGTGTACATTGCCAGGATGAGAATGACATGGTCGTCGACCACTTTTGGATTTGTTGCGTGGGAAAGAAGCTCAAAGTATCTTTTTCTTATTAAAGGGTTCACGCTGATAGCTCAAAATTGCAAAAAAAATCGTGATTAATTAAAGTGCCCCAAGTTATCGCAGATTTTTAGGTATGGCTTTAATTTAGTGAGCACCTATTACTAATTCAATATTTTCGGGAACTTGTAATAAAGTTGAAACATAAAATTCAAGGACCTATTAAAACTTCAAATTATTAACGTTTGTCTTTTCAGGGCTGCGCCGACGATCGTGGAAACACACAAAAAGCCGGACATTTCGTCGTGGGACAGGGGCTGTTAAAGTACTGTAACATACACCCGTCAGGGCTACGCGGCCGTATCGAGCCGAAAGGTGTGTTTCGTTTTTTTACGGTACCGGGCTGAAATCCAAAAATTTAATTGGGTGGCTTCTTCTCCTTCAAGTTTACGTAGAAACTGGTGTCAGGTGAGCACGATAATGAGCGCCAACATCGAATCGGCCAAGAACATCTTTGGATTTTAATAATCTTCGAAACATATTTTGTAAATTGAGTCCGTTCATAATCCGGACAGGCCAAAATTCCACCAGACGAAAATCCCGACAGCCAAAGGTCCGACAACTAAAATACCGACAGACAAAGTCCCGATACACCAAAATCCCGAAACCCATAATGCCGACATACAAAAGCCTCATGGCGAAAATCCCGACAACAACAATCCGGGCAACCAAAATCCCGACATATCCTTGCCATTTCGAATGTCAGGATTTTGGGTGTCGGGATTATGGTTGTCGGTATGTTGGCGTTTGCCATTTCCAAATGGTCCAGGTTAATTTTTTAAATGTTTCATATACCATCTAAAATTAAAACTCTTATTATTCGTGATTCTGCAGCTTTGACATGTGTGAAAAATTATATATCATGAAATTCTGGGCCTGAGAATCCTGAAAGTACGGTTATGAAAAATGGGGTTCCTTATAAAAATCGATAAAAGACCTACAGCACCCAATGTCAGGTTGCTTTAACGGCACGGAATACGACGATCCGGACGACGAGCAGTTTCACGCCAAGAAATACGCCATCTGGAGGCAGGGCGATGTCGATTTGAGGTTTGTACAGCGTTTTCGGAGCCAATTTTTATCCAAATAAAGCCAGAAACTTGCAAACATTAACATCCCAGAACGTTTGCCGATACATTTCATAACTGAAAAATTAAGTTTAGAATTTTCATGTAAATGCGCTGACACCGCTCCAAAATCAAAGCGTGTGCGTTGCGTATCGCGGACCCGCAGCCAGTTTTTAAAAATTCGGTGCTGGTCTGTTAGCGGGGGGGGTGTCCCCTACCACCTTTAACGATATATACTTTTTGTAGGGTTTTTATACAGTCTTTGCAGTTTTTACAATTGCAATTTTGGTGAAAATTCATAGAATGCCAAAACGGTTAGAACTTAAGATGTGAAACATTATAAAATAGATTTTACAACTGCCCGGCAATCAATAATTATTACAAATACTATAGAAATAGATTATTGAGAAAGATTATTGTCAAACACCCCGCAATTGACAGCCGTAGGCGGGTTGTTAAAAACAGAATATTAAGAAGGATTATTTAGTGTAACCAAATTATAATGACTTGATTTCTGTTATGAACTTGTACGTTTATTGTAAAAAAACTTGAGGTTCCATTTACAAATACGAAACCATTAGCAAACCAATTAAGGCCGTCAAATAATTTTTTCTGACATTTTTTGTATGAAACATAACATTTTCAAATTTTTGATTTATTTTTTAGCGCTTGGTTTTAGATATCCTGACGTTCAAAATCCACCTGGCTCAACGCAATCGATATCCATTTTTATAAAAAATAGTGCAAATACGAAAAACTTCCAGATGCGGCGACCAGGGGATCGTCGTCTACAGGTGCTACGTCGACGGCAAGCAGTTGTACTTTGGAGCCGCGTGGATGGATAGCCATGGAGCGTTTCATATTTGTAAATGATTTTAATATTCCTTGTAAATGGAAATAAATGATTAATGTCAGGGATACAACTGATACTTATTAATGCAAGAACAAGAGGAGGGACACGGAAAAATTATGAAACATTCGTTACCGAAACAACTACTTGTTCTCGCGCAAGCGGCTTTTCAACCCTGGTCCATCCTAGAAAAATTTTGGCCACACAGAAAGATGCGCCTTTTGAAGGGCTACAAGATGTCTATGCATAGAGTAAAATGATCATCTTTAACTCTTCTCTGTGACACGAGAGAAAAAAATTAAATCGATAAAATTAATATTTCGAAGTAACCTGATTACATCAATAGGCCCAAAACCCGATCTGTGTAAGAGAAAATGATAAAACATTTATTCGCAAAAAAAGTGTGGTGTTCAAAGAAGGGGGTGCTCAAATCCTGCTGGCGTCCCGGTTGAAGTTTTTGATGAACTCCGCGTACTTGTCGCCAGTGCGCTGCTGCAAAAAATGATTAAGAAACGCTTATGGCAAGCCTGATATTTTTACACCTCCAATCTGAACCTTGCAAATACCCAAAACATTCTTTTTTCGGCCAAAACACGCCAATTCAAATTTTGGTGGTGCTTTGCCATTATCGGGGGCGGGGCAATTTTTTCGTATACAATTTAGCCATACTTTCAATCGGAAAAATATTTTAAAAACTTCAAAATGTCAAAATTCGAAATTTTCGTTCGGCATTTTGGCTGAAAAATCGATATTATTTGTACATGTAAATTTAGCAAACATTCTAAATCAGGAATAGTTACAAAACAGTGTTGATTTTGTGTTTTTTATGATCCAGATATTACTATTTTATTCTTATCATTATTATTTATAATCGTTTTTATCGTTATTTTATATATTCGTCCCCCCACGATAATGCAATAGCGCCCCAACTTATACAACTCGGCTTGCATACATTAATTGATTGATCAAAAAAATGTGCTATGCTATGTGATATGCTATGCAACGAAAAATTCAAACGTGAAACTCAAAAAAAATGTTTCATCAAATGACCAAATAAAATAGGGTGTTTGCGGGATAATGGTGGCGGTGTAATACCTGGACAATAATTTTTTCGCAACCAACCGACCAGGATGAACTCGAAGACGACCTGGATGATGAAGATGTACTGCGACTCGGTCTGGATGGAGGAGGCACGCGCGTTCCGCAACTCTTTGAACACGTCGAGCAGCTGGAATCGGCATCTTTGATACGAAGCCTAAGCTGATACCTTGAGCGCAATTAAAAGCCCAGGTAAAGCAAAAAATACCCTTGCTGCTTGTCCCTTCAACAGCCTCGACACGATGCAGTCGACGGCGATGACCGTCCCCGTTCGGCCGATCCCCGCCGAGCAGTGCACCACGATTGTGCCTTGCTGAAAGGAGCAGTTTTTGGAATTGGCAAGGGATGGCTCGCTCCCAGCAGTTTAGCGGTTCAAAAAATGTGTTTCATCAAACTCGAAAATTCTAAAAAATTGACACTTCCCCAATAATTATTTTGATGTCGTACATAATATCTAACGCATTTTCATCACGTTTTTAGGGGTTTTCGAATCTCGGAAATTCTCATCCTCTTAAAAATGTGGGAATTTTTACATTTTATTAGTTATTTTGGTTGTATTTTTGATCATCTATAAATTCAATTTTTATATACATAATTTTTGATCAGAAATTTCATTATTTGCTATTTTTATGAACTTTTCCTAGTTAAAAAAACATGAAAAATTATTTAAAAATGCTGCACATTTTGTTATATAAGCATGCGTTTCAAATTTCTTTTTATTAAATTCGTTTCCAATTCGTTGATGCTACAAGTCGTTAGATAAATTAAATAGATTAATATATTAAAATGTACGGCATTAAAGTGGATGAGTTTGAGGAGGCCGAGGAGGACGGCTGGCCGATCGGGAACACCACGGTCCGGCCACGTCGTCATGTGGATCAGCTGGAAAGCGCATTAAAATTGAAAATCAATGAAAATACAAAAATTCTAGTGAAACATTAAAATAATCAATGAAAAAAACCTTGACAATCTGCGAGTTGGAGCACCCATCCGGCAACGCCTCCACGGTGTACACGTCGAAGCCGAGCTTGTCCTGGACAACCTGTAATAATTTTAATTAATTTTATAAATTTAAATTTAAATATACTTAAAATTAAGTTTTTTAGCAATTTAAAATTATTGTAAAAATTTCAGAATTGCAAGTATTTTATGAATTACGCTATTTCACGTTGATTCTATTTCCATAAAAATAGTTAGGTAAATTTGTCTTGAAGAATTTTCATTATTCTCGCCTAAATTTTTAAATCCGCTGTTTTTCTTTAATTATTTTCTTTCAATTTTTAACGCTCTTCTTAACTTTCGAAGTTTTCTTTCATTGAAATTAATATCAAGCGGTATTATGCAATGTAAAGAAGCTAGGCTGGAAAAATAATTTAATAAATTTAAAATCAAATTAAATTATATTCTAAAAATTAAGTAAAAATTAATTCAACGATATAAACTGCAACAAATAAATAAAGTAAACTCAGACTGAAAGCTACTTTAATTGGATACCTTCTTGGTGCTGACGGCCATCCGGCCGTACGTCGTGAACTCGTTGATCTTCATCGGCCAATACTGCGCGCACTTGTGCTTCCCCGCCTCGATGAACTGCAAAAAAATCGATATCCGAGAAAAGGAATGATGGCATAATCTTGAATCCCGACTAAGCAACAATTTAATAAAATTTGAAACATTGTTTGTAATTTTAAAATGTCCGGAAATTTATTTGATAATTTGACTGCTTCATCATTATTCTGCTTGTGTTGTCAACCCAGCGTTTGTATAAAAAAAATTAAATGTTTCCGAAAAAATAATGGCTAAACTCCAGATAACCCGCCCCCCCCCCCCGCCCCAGCCGACCCCCACCTACCGTATCTCGGCTTCCTGTTCATCTACAGGTGTGTGAAGTATACCAAAATACTCGCCAGAGCAAGACGAACATTTTGGTATACTTTACACACCTGTAGATGAACAGGGAGCCGAGATACAAAAGTTGGGTGCCGGCTGGGGGGGGGGGGGGGGGGGTTATCTGGAGTCTTACCAAAATAAATATAAGTTTTTTCATAAGGTGATGTTTGACCAAATTGCCTATTTCACTTGCAAGAACTTGTCCTAATTTATCTAGACTTCCGGGGCTACTTAAAATGAAATCAAATAAGATTGGAGTTCTACCACGTAAAAATCTCTTTGATTTTGTACGGGACCTGATTGCGGTGCTGTTCTGCTTCCGGGGCTACAGTAGCTACAGCGCAATATCAGATGACGATAGCGACGCGTTTCTGATTACAAAGCATACGCTATGCTGTGGATTACGGTGGTCAGACTACGGCCGACGGTAGATACAGTACAGCAAGCTTTTAAGTTACGGTAACTACGCCACACTCAAAGTTTCTGTAGGTACGCTACGCACCAGATTACGCTATGTACTCTAGGTTCTGGCCTACGGTAGCTACTCTACAGTCCGTGGCTACGTTAGGTACCGACGATCTGGGGTTACGGTAACTACGCCTCACCACGAAGTGACTGTAGGTACGATACGCTCCAGTTTACGGCAGCTACACTACGCTCCGGGGGTTCAGTAGGTAGCGCACGTTTTAGGATTACGGTAAGTACGGTACCTTACGCTACGGGCTAGTCCAAGTACTGTACGTTATGCTGCGTGTTACGTTAATGCCAGTACGCGACACTAAATGTTACAGTAGCGCCGCTACAGTACGCTACACTACAATTTGCAGTAGATACCTGGCAGAGGGCGGCGATGACGGTGACGCCCTCCTGATGTACCATACGCCAGTGGTCGCCGATCGTCTGCTCGAGAGGGCCCTGGAAAAATTAATGTAAATTTATATTGAAAATACATATTAAAATTTACCTGAAAAAAATTCCATCTACTGTTTAAACGACGATATTCCCTACCTGGCATGCAATAAACGTTTTGTCTTGCCCATCCAGTTTCACCGTGTTCGCGTGGATGTACTCGCCTGCAGAAACAAAATGTTTTATAAAATTGGCAACCTGGCGGCAAAAGCTCTAACTCAAGATACACGAGTTCGAAGTTGGCTAGTGTCGTATCCGGTCACCTACTCAAAACCTAACTTTTGATATGTCAAAATGCTCAGCAGGGCGAGCTGGTGTAAGTTACGTTGAGAAAACTTTACGGCAAAAGCTCTATCTCGAGATATACGACTTCGTATTTCAATATACTGACTTCGAAAAACCGGTTTCGCTGATCGATAAGATCAATAACGGTTTTTCGACAGGAGTCAATCAATTTGGAGGGAAAGTAATCGCTACTTCTTCCGCTCTGCGACTAGAAAAAGGCTTCGTGCCACCGGGGGCCTAGTCGCTTCGGAGTGGAGCGGGAGCCCATCCGAAGCAACGGCCCACCTTGCCTGACCATTCTCAGCATGTGTGAATGTGTGAAAAAAGTAAATTCAGAGTATATTTAAATTTCTAATGTCCGTGCGCCCGTCCGCCCGCCCGCCCGCCCGTCCGACCGGATCGCTGCGGGACCCCAGGACCGGTCCGGACGGGTCCGGGAGCCGGGGCGTTTCGGGATTTCGGGATTTCGGGATTTCGGTGTATGGGATGTTGATTTATTACCCCCGGGAGGGCCAGCGCTGAACCCCCGCGGAGCGGGGGGTCAGCGCTGGTGTGGGTTTAAAAACGTGTTTTGGATCAATTACGTAGGTTTCCGCATTGTTACTTTGGAATTTGTGCTGTCTTTTGGTGCTTTTCGTACTACTGACGCACTCAATATTTCGCCATTTTGGTGCTTTTCTGTTGTGATATCGAGATAGAGCTTTCGCCGCCAAGTTTTCTCAACGGATCTTGCACCAGCTCGTCCTGCTGGGCATTTTGAAATATCCCAGGTTGGGTTTTGAGTAGGAGACCGTATAAGCAAATTTTCCCATTTGAAATTCACGATTAAAAAATTACATTCGGGTGGTGACTGTAGGGTGAGGTGGACGCGCGTCGACTCCAGGCACACCACGTCTTCGTATCTGAAAATGCGTAGTATAAATTTTTGATAACGTTATTTTTATTATGCACTATTCGTTCTTTTGTATTCGCTATTTGATTCTTTTTTTAATTCGGCTAGTGTGTGTATGCTATCGTAATTTGTCCAGAACAAAACTTGGTATTATTAGCACTCCCGTTCCATCCCTTGCTAGTATTTTTTTTAGAAACGCATTTTTGGGGAAAAAATGGGTTTCGAGTAGCCGGGCTCAGGCCTGGGAATGGGCCGGCCCGGGCCGGCCCATTTTTCTCGGCCCGGCCCGGCCCGGCCCGGGCCGGCCCGCAGCCAATTTTTCGGCCCCGCGGCCCGGGCCGGCCCGACATTTTGGGTACATTTTTACCAAACCAATATATACCATCCTTTAATTTTTCCGGAGTCACAAAAACGTGTTAGATCAAGTTTGTTAATCGTCTATAGGCTTGCACAACCGATTTAGGTATAATATGTAACGAAAATTTATTCATAAAACAGCATACAACCAGTTACCTCTTTAGTTCAATAGAAAAAAGTCTGTTTTACTTAGTGGAGTTCAATTTCTTCGACGCATACGTGTAGTTTGAACACTAATACACTTAAATAAGGCTAACAAGGCATATTCCCAGCATTTCTGAACATTTCCGGCCAAAAAAAGCAAAAAGCAAAAGATTGACCTCGGCCGGGATCGAACCCGGGTCGTTTTCCTGATAAATCAAAGTTAAGCCAAAACTCGGATTTTTTTACTTTTAACTGTTTAAACAGATGATTGAAGTTGAATATCAATAAGGAAAACTTTAATGTAATTAAATTACCTCATTTAAACCTAATATAACTTATTGGCAAGGTGGCGGGCCGGCCCGGGCCTCCATATTTGACGGGCCGGCCCGGGCCGGCCCGCCAGCCTAAAATCCCGAAAATCTCGGCCCTGGCCCGGCCCGGCCCGGGCCGGCCCGGGCCGGCCCGGGCCGGCCCGGGCCGGCCCGCCAAATTCCCAGGCCTGGCCGGGCTGCCGATATTCTCCATTTCATTTCTCGCCTCCAAATTTGTGCAGTTTTTACGTTTAGGTACATTAAAAAATATTTAGAAATTCCACCATTCATATTAAGAAAACTTATGACAAACTTAAGGTGACAGCAGCCTGACAATAAGTTTTTGTGAAACATGTTTTTCCCTTAAAATTTCCGAGCCTTTTTTACGGATTTCAATGCATTAAAATTTAATAAAATTTAATAAAGGACTTTAACAAAAATTTTGATACCTATTCTTCTCCCGCGACGCGGTAAAGGTCGGATACTCGAAGCAGGACGGCACGTAGGGCTTGCAGCTGATGAACTCGCCGCGCAGGCCCTGGACACCCATCTGGACGTAGTGGTTGACGAACGAGTCGATCTCGCGCTCCACGCCCGCGTCCAGGCTGGCTTTCTGCAAGAAATTTGATAGAAAATACGACACAATACGATAAAAAGCAAACGATACGAAACGCATATACCAATAATGCGTCACACAATGACTGACCCTCCATTCAGCGGGCAGCACGTCGGGAGCGTCTTCTTCTTGTCGTGTCCGCGTCTGAAAAATCGAAGTGAGAAAGCACTTTTGATTTCTAGAGTTATCAAAACAAGTAATGAAGCTATAAAATTCTAAAGTGATAAAAATCGTAGTTTTTAACGAAAAAAATGTTTCGAATACCCACAATAGCGTCTTTATGAGGGTAATAATTAGTTTGTAGATACTTAGTCGCAATCTCTATAATTTTTAATTGCTGTATTTGTTTATTTTATTTATCTAAATCGTACAAATTATCGAAGTTTCAAAATTTTGTGTAGTTTTCTAGAAGTGAAACACGACTAAAAATACAGAAATACAGCAATTATTGTTAACAGGTAAACTAGAAAAAATGCGGAAAAAGAAAAATTAGTTTGAATGAATTAAAAGTCTCCTCCCCCCTCTAACAACCCAGTACCGATTCGCCAGCTCTCGACGCTACCTTATCGACACTTGGCGACTTCTTCTTCTTCTTCCGAATGGACTTCTCGATCTTGATCTCATCAGTCGAATCGAGCTGTGTCCTTTCCTTCTTCTTTTTCGGTGCCTTCCGTGACATTAATGGGGCCATCAGGTCGGCCATCATCTCCGTGGTCCCCTTCTTTTTCGTTTTCTTTTTGCGCCGCGATTGGTCGGCTGAAAAACAATACACGGGTCTGATTACGGTAGGCAAATTAAAATCAGCAGCTAAAAATTGGTTAGAGTTCAGTTTACCCCCCCAGCCGCAACGTTTCAGGCATACGTCCTATTAATGCGCCGGAGTATCTCAAAATGTTCGCCGTGGTCGAATTACTGTAAAAAAGTTGTTTTCTTGCGGCAAAAATTGCAAAAAAATTTTTTACAAGATTTTGATAGTTGAAAAGATCGAAAGATCGAAGCATAGCGGCCTAAGCCTAAGCCTTAAGCCGCTATGCTTCGATGTACCAGGAGTCTAAAACTCAAATATTTTTATTTTCCGCTATTCTTTCGACCCAAACGTACTGTAGGCTTATTCTCCAGAGCAAGAGCTATATTTTGGTACTATTGACAGCTCTGTACGTCAAAAGATAGCCGAGATACGAAAACTCACTTTGGAACAGCAAAAATTAACTAAAGAAAACCCAGACTTATAATTGTTATAAAAAAATTTCTAGCAATTTTTGATGTAAGAAAACAACTTTTTTTATAGTAATTCGACCACGGCGAACATTTTGAGATACTCGGCGCATTAATAGGACGTATGGCTGAAAAGTTAGGGATGGGGGGGTAAACTGCACTTAAGCGGGTTACGGTAGGCAAATTAAAACCGGCAGCTAAAAATGTTTTTCTTTTTCTAAAAATTTTCCCGAGCGCGTGAAAAAGCTTCTGCTTTCCGGGTATCAAAAACCACAAATGACAACTTGGTTACCGTACCCATTCTGAAGACACTGACGAGTTTCTTGTGAAAAGTATAAGCGAATACAGCGATTGCGAAGCGCGTGAGACAGTAGGAAAAGGGGCGAAAATGGGGGCCAGCCAACGCTTTATCGATGAAAATCCCATGCCAATCGCGAGGGATTTCCGGTGGGATTCAAATGTTCCAATCAAAGGATAAGTGATACAAAATTAAACACTCTTACATCTTCCGGTTCTCATATCAGGTGACAGACATCAATGGAAGTATTTTAATAGTGTTTTTAGCAAAATTTTACTATATAGTTAAAGTTGAACTTAGAAAACTAGCTAAAAAGCAGAGAATTACAAAAATACAATTTTTGTGGGTTCTAATAAAAATTGTAAAGTTACCAGCATGAAAAGCCGCTTCGCCACTTTTCAACCCTACTGTATGCCAATTTTATCCTAACAAAGTGGGTGGCCGAATTTTTAAGAAAAACTTAATTTTAATGTCGAAAATAACGTATTTTACAAAATCTGTTTGTACAGCCATCTCCAACCCATTACGCATCTAATGACGTATCAAACATTTTTTTATATATAGTACGATTACGTTTATTAAGATTAAAAACAACTTCGAAACGCTGTCAGATTTGTATGGAAAAAATTGGCTCCTAATGAAAAGCACCCTCAAGATTCTCTGTCCGCAAGAATCTCTGCTAGCCAGTCTTTCCTCTTTTCTTCGGCATTCAGTGAACCTCTAACGCACTCTGAACTGAGTCGACGCGGCCACGACGCGCCACAACATTGCGACGAAACACACCATGTCTACCTTCAGAAAAATCGTAGGTTTTAAAAGTTCTGCGTGTGAATTTTCTCGTTTTTCTCTACCTATCCTACCTACCTTTCCTGAAGAATCCCTGCTGGCTTGCTTTTTCTCTATATACCGTTTTGCCAATTTTCCTAAGGAATCATCGCTAGCATGCCTTTCCCCTTTTCTCCGTATGCCAACTAGTCGCCCTCTTCACCTGCAGATTGGGTTAGCGCGAAACCGGGATTCTAAATTTAAACGAAACACATCATTTCCACCTTGATATATTTTAGAATTTATAAAAATTACAAAAAATTTTTGCGTAGCAATTCAGTGCGTGGGTGGGCTTGTTTCAAGTTTTCTCTGTCTGTCTGTCTGTCTGCCTGCCTTTCTGTCTTTCCGTTTGTTTGCCTGTCCGCACCAGTCAAGTGGTAATCGAGTGTAGGCCATGCAACGGCCAAAAAGGTTACAGTTTTGGCAATGCTGGAATTTTAAGGAAAAGGTTGTTGTTACTTTGAACTGTCAATTTTTCGCTTTTCTACTTTTCGCTCTCTCCCTCTCTCTCTCTCTCTCTCTCTCTCTCTCTCTCTCTCTCTCTCTCTCTCTCTCTCTCTCTCTCTTTCTCTCTCCTTCACTACACAATGCACCCATTTACACGACATGTTTTGTGCGTAGTTGGGGGGAAGTGGCGGAAAAATTAGAGTCCTCCCCCCACCTTGCATTCATTCGATGTCTGGGGCGCCGCTATCAAATTATCCGCGAGATCAGAGTGGGAAAGAGAGGGAGAGAGAGAGAGAGAGAGAGAGGGAGGGAGAGAGAGATAAAAAGATATTCCGAGCGGAAAACTGTGTTGGAGACAAGGTCGTCGATCGCCGTTTGTCCCCAGCACACATCCACGTCGAATCTTTCCCCCTCGAAAAACGATTGTGGCTGCGGCTCATTCTGGAAATTTGTGGGATTTTTATGATTATTTAAAATTCTTAAAAATTAAAAATTGTGATGGGATTGATAAAGTCATTGCGAGATAAATCGAGCCACTAGTTGTTTATTTGCTAAAACATTTTTTATGCGCCTGGAAATGCAGAATTTTTACCATAGAATTGTCGACTGCTATTTTTTAATCACATTAAATTTAATCCCTTTTGTTTTTTTTTGTTTTGATCACCTCGAGTTAAAAAGAAGATATTTATGGAAGAAGTTCGTGGAAAAGCAGTTAAAAAAAGAAGAAAACCGTCTTTTTTTTCGTTTCAGCACCATTTTTCTTTCGTCGGTCCCCGCGATTTTAAATAATGTTAAAACTCTTCTAAAAGTTCGTAACCGTTAAAATAAGCTTCCTAATAAATTTCTATGTTTTTAAAATACTAAAATGATATTAAATAAACAACTTAAAAGTAGAGAGATCGTGAGAAAAATTAATCTAACCGTCCATAAGTTGTTTCTCGTTATAAATTCTCGAATCTAGGTATTTTTTTAATCATAATTTTTTGAAACACGTTTTACTCCCCAGTTTTTCATTTTCGTATGTAAATGTTCCTAGAAAAAAGAGAATTTGTGGAGTGTTTGATGTTCTAAAGTTCTCTCTAAATTCTCGAGGTCATCGCCGGCAATTGCGGGGGGTCAGTCAGGTAAGCGGGTGGTAGATAATTAGCCGCCATCGCCGAGCAGGGCGCCCGCCATTTCGCCAAATTCCACCCGGTTCGTCCCATTTACGTCGTTTCCCTTTCCGGAAAATTTAGGGCTCACTAGATTCAGGAAAACACTTACTCACCTTTTCTGAACTCTTTTAAAAACGCCAAAAATCACGGCAGATAAAAACGGTGTTTCATTTTTTTTAGACAAATGAAATTCAAAATCCTTTAATCGTGATCCAGTAATTTTTTACTACGATTCGATTTCCAATTTCCGAATAGTTAAAAAACTGGCTCATCGTTACTGCCCTTAAAAAAAGGAAAAATAACGACAGAAAAAATCGTGTTTCAATTTTTTTAAATGCCGGAAATTAAAAATCTTTTTTTGTTTTGATCTCTTATTATGCATTCAATTCATTTCCTAGGAAATACAATTTTTCTCTAAGCAGAAATTATTATTGTATTCGGTTTGCATTTAATTGAAAAGTATCGCCAAGTGCAACATTTTTAATTTTTACCAGGGTTGAAAAGTCGCTTCGCGACTTTTCAACCCTGGCCCCGTCCAACCCCATGATATCCCTCGCTTTGCATAATCCTTCCGCACTGTTATGTCAAAAAATGAAAATCGCTTCCTCTCCCCGATTATCCTACTATATATAAAAAAGTAGTGTCTGTGTGTGTGTCTGTGGACACTTTGCATAAATGACTCGAAAAAACCGGGTTACCAAGATATAGCGAAGGGGGAAGGTTTTTCGGGCCCAGTCGAAAGCTATTTAGGGGTATTCGAGGGCGTAGATTACTGCACGCTTATCAGTTTTTTAAGAAAATGACGATTTATACTTTATTTTAGTGTTTTAAAAACATATGGAAATACCCTCATTTGCATACGAGGCCCTAGGAGGCTCATTTTGGATTTTGTCACGCTCCGAGTCGGTCGCTTTTGTGATTGTTAAGGTTGAGAGGTTGGCACTAATTCGCTAGAATTATGCAAAGTGCCCAACGTCTTAAGATCCCCGCGCAAAGGCCAGGGGTGAAAAGCCGCGTAGCGGCTTTTCAACCCTGGTATAGACTAATAGCACTTCCGCCGTATGCTAATTTTTTCTTAACAAAGAGGTTGTCCGATTTTTAAGGAAAAACTTAATTTTAATTTCGAAAACAATCGATTTTGCAAAATCTGATATACGTGCAGTCATCTACAGGCCATTACGCGTCTAATGACGTATCATACGCCCTCTTCATCCCCGCCCCCCTTGAGATATCCTCCGGACACGCTGACGGAAGTTGCATGCAAAGTGTCATACACACACACACACAGACACTATTTTTTTATATATAGTAGGATTTGATCATTTTTATCGCTGTTCCGTATCCATAGAAATTTTTACGTTAATATAGACGCAAGCACCATGCATTTTACGCGATTTTTATGGCTAAAACTGTGAATGGTATAAAAATGGTACTCGTTTTCCTGCCCCCCCCCCCCCCCCCCCGCTAACAGCCCAGTACCATTTTTTCGTTAAAACTACAGACAGCCGGATCTATAAAGCGGGATTTTTCTCTAGAATCTCCTGGAAAAAAAACAGAGCAATGGGATATCCAGTCGAAAGTAGTGCTCGCTCGGGGAAACGGAACGAGGAGCAGCTCGTATTTTGCGTTTTTTAGGTTATCTTTCTCTATCTCTCTCTATCTCTCTCGCTCTCTCTCTCTCTCTCTCCTCTCTCTCTCTCTCCTCTGTCTGTCTACCCATTTTGCTATTTGTCCCGGTTCCCCCCTTCCTTTCGTTATTTCCGCTTTTTCTCTGCGGTGATTGCGGTCGAAAATGGCTGGAAAAGGCGGAACGGTGGCGGGATGGGTGATTGATTTGTCAATGGCCCCGTCGCTCGCACGGTTCGTTCTCCTGTGAAACATTTTTCCGGAAAAATTTTAGTGTTTCAATTTTCCGCAGTAATCTCTGCTAGCTTACCCTGTCAATCGACTTCTCGATCCATGTCGCTTTGCAAGCATCCTCGATGATTTCGGAGACTGGACTGTTAGCGGGGGGGGGGGGATATCAAGAAAATTAAAATACCCTTCCACCGCCAACAGAACAGCACCTGCTATACTGCATACCTTTGGAATCTCTACTAGCCGAGCCTCAAAATGTTAGAAGGTTCTAAGATCCAAACCCAACATTACTGAAGCCTCCCCAAAAATCTTTGCTAGGTTGCCCTTTATTTGAACTGTTTTTCTTTACTTTATACAGCTTTATTTCTAGCCCCCTAAAGAATCTCCGCTAGCTTGCGCTTTACGTTTTGTGAGAATTTTTTATGTTTCATTTTTTCTACAGGAAGTGGTGGAAAAAAGTGCCCTCTTCATTTTTGCTAAACATTTCGAGGCCCTAATCCATCAAAATCCTAGTGAAATCGGCAAAATAAACCTTAAAGTCAATATAACTTTTTTGTTTTACAATATTTTGCTTCGAAATTTCGGCTGCACATAGTTTTTATGGGTCCCCATCACTGGTAAAAATTTGGTCCTGATCGGATGGAAGACGGCCAAATGCCGAGGGGGGTTTGGGGACACTCTGTATATCTTTGACCTTTTTGCTACAAAAAATCAACATTTTAAAAAACTGTGCATCATCGATTTTCCATTAAGCGTAAACCTTGAGTCCTTTATTCACTGAAAGGCTGTTTCATTTAATTTCAATTTTAAATTTTTTATTGGTTCTTACTTTATTGCTGGTCCGGAATTTATCTAATATTTTCTTTTGCGATTTTTATGTAATAATAAATTATGCAGCATTTATTATAGGTAATAACCTCGGCAGGGGGCTGCGATGACGATCTCCTACGATGAGGAGTTCTCCGGCCTTATGCTCCGGTGGCGCGGATCGCTCTGGAAGGTAGAGTATTTGATTTATGGGTTTTAAAATATTATAAAATTATCTAACGAATTAAAATGGGTTATTTTAGATTAAAGAATTAGAGACTTTACATCTCTTAAATAGTATTATGTAAATTAATGCGAAGCCAATTTAATCGAACCGAACGAATAACACAATATGAAAGTTGAGGCTATTTTAAGAATGACGGTTTTGGAAACATCTGTTTTGTAGATACGGTGAAAGCCCTGTAAATTTTAGCTGATAACTTTAATAACTTGAAACATTTTTTAATTTTTTTTTGTTTTGTAGATTTATATGGGTTGATTGATTAAAAATCTTGATTTTATAGCTATATTAAAGGTACACTAACGTCTCGTTGTTGTGGTTACCGGCCGGTAACCGTCCGCGGGATAGCGAACAGGGTTACTGTAGGTGCTCGCCGCGGAGCAAAACCGAACCCGGACCACTCGCCTGGGGCAAGCGCCATAGACCAGTAGGCCATGGGAGAGACGGGAAAGGGGAGGCGGACAGGGGATATGAAGCCTCGGGCCAGGCAACCGCAAGGGTGCCAAATTCCCGACCGCGGCCCAATTTTTCAAGCGAGATTTTAGTGTACCTTTAAGTCGAAAAGTATAAACTAGGCAAAATCTGATCTAATGGGATTTTAAATTGCTTATTTTCCGGGTTTTCAGGCCGTGCTAAAGGACATGATCGCCTTCTACATTGCCTACTACATCATTCTCACCTTCCAGGTACCTGAAAAATTGAAGCAAAATCTGCCTACAATTTTCCTACGACTAAAAAGCTATATTTGCTGCTTAAAAACCTTTTTTGATTTCAAAGTATTTTTTTCTAGTTGAAATATTTTTTACTAAAAGGTTATTTTTAGTACTACTTCCTGGATGAGAAGGGCAAAGAGTACTTTACCGGCTGGATCAACTGGTGCGAGATTGGGTCTCAATATATTCCGCTGTCATTCCTCCTCGGTTTCTTCGTGTCGGTTATCGTTGCCAGATGGTGAGTGTATTAAAGGTACACTAAAATCTCGCTTGAAAAATTGGGCCGCGGTCGGGAATTTGGCACCCTTGCGGTTGCCTGGCCCGAGGCTTCATATCCCCTGTCCGCCTCCCCTTTCCCGTCTCTCCCATGGCCTACTGGTCTATGGCGCTTGCCCCAGGCGAGTGGTCCGGGTTCGGTTTTGCTCCGCGGCGAGCACCTACAGTAACCCTGTTCGCTATCCCGCGGACGGTTACCGGCCGGTAACCACAACAACGAGACGTTAGTGTACCTTTAACGATTCATTTTAGTCATTGAAACATGTTGAAATGTGCTATTCCAGGCAACTCACATTGATTCAGGAAAATTCAGCCCGAGGCTATAAAACTTTGAAACATCACTTTGCTGGAAATTTTTCCATCTCTCTCCCTTTCTCACATACACTCTCTCTCGCTCTCTCTCGCTCTCTCTCTCTCTCTCTCTCTCTCTCTCTCTCTATCTGCATCCCGTGTCTCACTCTCCTTCACTCTCTGGTACTCAAGCTCTCGTTCTCTCTCATTCATTCCCTTTTCTTTCTCTTTCTCTGTCTCTCACCCTCACTCTCGCATCCTGATCTTCATTCCTCAATTCCAAATCCCCAAATTGCCCCAATTCCAGATCTTAAAACCTCTGGCCCAGATCTCTTTTCATTCCCAAAGAATCTCTGCTAGACACCTACTGATTTTTCCTGCTGTCAGACTCCCTTTAAAGCAACCGATAAGGCAGGGTTGTCGATTTTATTTCCTTGGATATATACCAGGCGCGCGACAGGCCGGAATTAATCCAGGCACAAAAGCGTGGATAGTTTTGCCTTGCCAGCACCTTTAAAACGGTTTATAATTAAAATATTTCAGTAAAAAATGAATATAATGAAACGGAAAACGCTATTTCCAGGTGGGAGCAATTCAATTGGATCTCATGGCCCGACAAAATGATGATGATGGTTGCTGCCTGTTTGCCTGGCCGCGAAAATCTTGCCGTGCGCGAGGCCATCGCCCGCTGGAGCAGCCTGCAGGTATTCTAATTTGCATATTTAAAATGTATTGGAATAATTTTTACTAGTTTTTCGATAATAAATTAATAAGACTAAAAATAGTTTTACTCTATCGAAAAAATGCAAAATGTATGTTTGACGAATGTTCCAAGTCAATTTGTTTGCAAACATTTGGAATTTGGAAAAAGAGTAATTTGATGGTGTTAGGATAATATTTAAAATTCGTAAGTCCTTTTCAAAAACATGTCTTCCAAATAATCCTAAAATGCACTCTTCTGTAACTTTTCGTTTTTTTTTGTCACGGCGCGTTATATTTATTGCACAATATGGGGGCAGTGCCACCATAAGTTTTTGTACAAAATCAATCAATAGCTGAAAAATGCAATTTAGGCTGCCATTGCATGGTCTGGGATTTCGGTGCGCACGCTGAAGCGTTTCCCCACCGAGCGTCACTACGTCGATGCGAATCTGATGACCGAGCAGGAGTACGACCTCTTTATGAATCTCGAGGCGCCCCATGGAAAGTGGTACGAGTTATTTTGATCGTTTAATACTTCGAAGATTGAAAAATTCCATAGTGTTATGCTACCATTTTGACGAAACATCATTTCTACGAAATTTCCTTTTTTCGAAATTCATTCCGTCGAAATTGCGTTTTGTCGAAATAGATTTTTGACCGAATGATATTGCGACAAAATGTGTTTTGAAAAAAAATGCTACGATCAATTAGAAATTTCAGCTGCCTTTTATGTATGTAAAGTCATAAAACATTTTTCTGCAGTGATTATTTTTACTTGTAAGTAGAGATGTTATTATTCAAATCAAATCTGAGGATTTGAAAGTTTCTCAAATCAAATCCAGATTTGATTTGCCTTGCCGGCATTCCGTCATTCAAATCAGAACCGGAAGCCCAATTCAAATCAAATCCTGGACCAATTTGATTTGATTAATTTGAGCAACCCATTTCCGAAGCAAATGCGAGAAAAAGGATGCTTATCGGCAATTTCCGGTTTATTCGATGATGAGCATATGCAAAACATCAAAAATTTCCCTCTTTCCCTACATTTTTTGGTGCTCGACTTGTGATTTACATCCGTAGAAATGACTCCAGATTTGAAGTTTCTCAAATCAAATCTGGATTTGATTTGAAATCCAGCCAGTTTCGATCAAATCCAGATTTGATTTCGGCAGAATCAAATCTCAAATCTTCTTATTCAAATCGGATCGGATTTGAGTAGGATTTGATTTGAATAATAACATCTCTACTTGTAAGGTTCTTAAATACATCGAGC